AGTTTCTAGCTCCTATTTGAACTCTGGAAGTCATTTGGACATCTTTTCCCACAAGTCAGTTGAGATTACTTAAGAATCAAACAACCTTGGTAAACACAAGCAGAGCTATGTTACTAAAGTTGGAGGAGAGAGAAACAAACAAATGTCATTACAGATGTTAATATGAGAAGTAACATCTACGACCAATCACTGAAGGGAAAATTCACATAACTACGAAAGGAAAGAAATTACCCATTACCTGGTCTAATAATTATTTATTCTCAAAATACACTCAGAGAGAAAAGCAGTAACCAAAGCAAAGGATTCATATTCCAATAGTGAGACTTCTTAATATAATTTTGCAAGGGACTTAAATATTTACCTACATCCCTGGCACAAGTAACAGTAAATAATGAGTCTCTAGGGATCGTCTCATTTCCTGGAGTTGGAGCGTTGAGGGAGGAATCATACTTTGTATTACACAAGCCTTGGGTTATTCTATTTTCTGTCATTAAAAAGTATGTATTTTTTTCCTTTTCAGCTGATTATTAAAATGGAGCTATGCTTTTCTTACACTGGAGTGATACACTGGTGCACTCTGTGCCATCAGAACAAATTCTTAAAGAGATTAACGTTTTCCTGTTCCTGGAGCGATTTTAAAGTAGAACTTATCTTTTCCAAATGTCTTCCTTCAGCACGGTGTCACGTAGCACCAGGAGGGAAGCATTAGAGACTGCATTTCTTCTTGGCTATTTTCCCCCGAGGGTTGAATAGTGAGGTCGGGGCGAGCAGTGGATACATTGCAAGCATGCAGTTGCATGAGAGCCGCTCGGCTCTAAATTCTGAGCCTGGCTCAGTTCTGTGAAGTGAATACTGAGTCCAAAGAGCATATATAATCTGCTCTCAAGATTCATGTGCATTTATTTATTTATGACCAATTTATTGAATATCATTTATATTTTGGAGAATTCTTTTCCCTAAAATTATCCCTTCACAGCAAGGCTATACTTCCTGAATCTCATTTTAAGACCCTCCAAAAGCACAACTGCACATTCAGGGAAAAACCTAACATAATATTGTATATGAAAAGACTTTTATAGAATATGAGAATTATTTTGTATTTTTGTGGGCTTGTTTTCTAAAGTGCCTTCTTAGCAAGCAGCACATAAACCATCTTCCATGGATGAAAAGGAACAACAAATAAACCAAAGCCAGTGTTCCCTTTTCTCTCGTTGAATAACTGACTCCAGTCATGCCCGATTTAACTCCCCTGAAAGGAAGAATGTGGGAACACCACTCAAACGGAGGCCAACCATGACTCTCCCGGGCTCTGACTCTTATTTAAGGGTTCTGTCAGGAAGCTTTTTTATTTCCTTACACACACTAATGTATCTTTGCTTTGTTCTAAGTACAATTAAGTTTCTGAAAAAAATCTGCCTTAATTTAAAAATTCCCTCGAATATTACCTATTATAGTCTATGTGATAACAAGGAGAAACCCAATGGAGGCTACACACGTTCTTCACTGAGCGGAATTGTCACTTGTAACAAATGCCATCCTATGCCAAGAGAATCCTTGAATGTTAGCAGCCACATTGTTTCTTTGGAGAGTCTAGTTTCCACTTCATTTACTTCTTGCAATTGAGAGATGACACAATTAAACAGAATCATCTCAACTCTGTCCCAAGCAGTGCATGTACGGGATAAATTAAGTTCACCCCTAATGAAATAAAGGAAGAACTTGAAGACGGGAAAGGACATGACCTACTCTCTAAATGTATTTTATTATTACTCCTGGCTTCAAGTAAATATATTTAAAGGAGCAAACAAACAATCTTAGAATCAGAGCCCTGAAGGATTCACCAGGATTATTTTGGCAGTAGAAGAGGTTTAAAAGTCAGAATGCTCAGAAGGTGGTCAGAACAGCACGAAACACAGCCAGCACTTTATCCTTCTCCTTTCTCTTCCTTGCTTAGATGCTGTGATAAATGCAGGGTCTCTGCACATGTGAAGCACATGAAGTAGGTCTAAGTACATCCCCCGCAGCATTGGAATCTGCAAAACTAATTAACAACTTTGCAAATAATGAATGTTCTCGCACTCTACAAAATATAAACAATACCAGCAAAAATAATATAGATGAAAAAGGAGAGACGTGTCTTCTTTGGTAGGTGCAGCTTCACTTTTTTTTTTTTTTTTAATTCTCTGGTTTGATCAAATGTTTCAAGTACAAAATGGCAAAAACTTTATTTCCTCATAAAATTATTTAAAATAAATAAACGTGGGAATTTGTAAGGCTATCAACTAAATAATTCGTCACTGTTTCACATCCATTTTGGGGCTTTTGTTACTGAGCTCTCTCTGTAAAACAGAGCTACTACGCCAAAGAGGCCCCATACAGCAACAGTCAAATGTCCTTGGCCTTTTCTCTTCCCCTACATTTATTAATCCAGGAGTAATGGGGATAAAGAAACCCAAGAGGAGTTATTAATATAAACCAATAGTAGAATTAACAAGCAGCAGTTAGGATAGTTTCTCTGTAGTTCCATGGATAGAAATCACTGTCCTTAGACTTGACCCCAATCAAGGATCAACTTTCGGTTACCCTTTTTCTACCTACTGGGAATTTGCTGGATCCTGTGGACAACGACAAATGCATCAGACAGCCCGACTTTCACTGGATGGTTGGTGGAACTTATCTGTGTGACCAAGACAGGTATCTAGAAAAAGGAAAAGGAGATTTCTTTGTGTTACACATGAATGGCACTTAGGCATAGGGTTGGAGTTATCATGTTTACTGAATAAAATCAGAAAATGGAGATGAGAGGATGGAGAAAAAACATGGAACATCACAGAAAATAAGTAGACAATGCCTTGGAATCACATCAGGTTAGAGTTATATATGAAATAAAGTAACAAAAGCTTCTGGTCAAGCATTTAACAACCCAATATCACAGAAAGAGGCTCTTGCAAATATAGTTGATATTAGAAGCTTTGAAATTATCACACACACAAGTACACCATGACTAGTGGGAGCCATAATTTCTATAACAAAAATTCTTTTTTATTTGTTTTCATACATGACTTTATTCTGTATTTAATTTTATGGATTTTTTTTAAAAAAACTCCTGTTTATAAATGGTCCTGTACACATAAAGACTTATAAAAATAAGCAAATTGCATAACATACATTTAATGACATTATAACCGGTTATTATTTTAGTCACATGATACAAGGCTGGAAAATACTAGAGTTCAGCCAATCAGGTGCAATGCTCATTGTTCTGTGTGGTTGTTCTAATGGAAGCACCTGGGAAACCTATGAGGCTATATGGGATGTCTCAGGGTATCGTACCACAATTACCAAACAACTTGCCATTAGGTTTTATTCTTCTCAAAGTGCTATTACTTCCCAATATAACCATCCTGGTGACCAGTCTATTATGACATGTAGCATCTCCTTTGGGGGACATGTAGCATCCAAATTCCCATGAAATGCCCATGAAAAAAAAAAAAAGATCTATTGATTAATACTGAGCACTGGTGTTTTTTTTTTTTTTTTTTTTT